AATTCCAGTTTCTTTCCTCGAGGGAATCACAGTCTGGTGGAGGGAGAGAGCCTGTAAACAGAGCAGCGATGGCGTTTGATCTGAGATACAGGGGATGTACTGGCTCACAGGGACTCCCTTCGGCCAGGCGTCGTCTTTTCTTGCCTGGATTCATATGACAGCTTCCACACCCCTCTCTGTGCTTCTGCCCAGCTGGCCTTCTGGGATATTCTCCTCCCTGGAGCCAGCATGATCATTCTGACATGGAAATCTGTTCACCCTACTCTTCTGCTAAAAGCCTTTCAAGAACGAAGCCCAAGCCACTGCCTCACAAAGTCCAACTCCTCTGACCCCTGTCCAGTTTTCCAGTCTCCTCACAGCAACCCCAGGCCGACCAAACTTGCAGCCAGGCTGAACCTTTGTCATCCTCAGAACGTGGCATCCCCTGTCTCAGCTCTTGCCACTTTCTCTGTGCAGAGTCTTGTCTTCACCTTGCTAATGCCTGCTCATCCTCAGGGCTCAGCTTCCAGTCACTTCTGGAAGGCTTCCCTGATCTTCCAGGTCTAATTAGGTGCCCGGTGGGCTTCTCACAGCTCCCTGGTCTTAGCAGTTGTCCCATACTGCATTGTAACTAACTGCTTTTGCTGTATTTATCCCACCACAGGCTCCAAGCTCACTGGGCCCAGAGTCAGTGCTGCTCATCGTGTTTCCTCAGTGCCTAGTGTGGCACCTGGCTCAATAAATCATGTTCTCAAATTAACTCATTTGCTAAGTTAGGCTTTTTCAGGGGGTGGGAAGACTTGCCCAGGTTATCTTAGGTGATTTGGGTTTATCAGAAGGATCTCAGCCACGTGCAGGCAGCCATGTCAGCAACTAGATGATTCCTCAGAGCTCCTGAGAGGAGATGACTCATCAAGAGAGCCTTCACAGTGGGGGGCTTTTTGAGCTTAGTGGTGAAAGATGAGTGGGTGTTGGCCAAGAGTCCGAGGTAGGGAAGAGGGTTGTTGCAGCCTCACCTGAGCCCATTGGTTGCTCATAGTCTTCAGGTTCTTTTGTTAAACATCAGTAGCCTCTGATTATGAGGTAAGGTTAAGAACTCAATGTCTCCTGTCCCTCAACCGCACTGCCAGGTGGTAGTTTAGCATAAAAGCAAGTCCTTGACTCCTGCCATACGTAGAGACATATTAGCGAGCATGCACAGAAACAGTCCCACCACCAGCTTTTATTAGTTTGGTGACATCTCCACTGCTTGTTCTGGTAGGTGCTCCAAAATGTCCTGTCCCACAGGTCCACTCTGAAGGGCACGCCACAGTACTCTGTGGGAAGAATCCCCTGACCTCATCGTCAGAATCTTCCATTGACTGGGGGGACCGTGGAGCTGTGGAGTTCCACAGCTGAAGCACCACTCAGAGGGGTTAGGGAGCCGGCTCCCCCCGGGTTCTTACGGCTCAGCAGGCAAGGACAGAGGTGCCTGTATGAATCTTTCTGCCCAGATTATCTTTAAAAAATCTCTCATTCCACAGTGGAAAAAAAATATTTCTAACCTCCATTTTGGTAACGACAGAACCTTCTGCTGCAGATTTAGACAGCGATATTTCGCGTGTTTGCTGCAGCTGCCTCTGTAGCTTCAGAGTGTGGACTCTGATAAGTGTCCTTCAAATATTAGCTCATGGCCCCTGGAGTTTAGATTGTGGTTGTCATCATTTGATAGTCTATATCAAAATAATTTAAAACACATTTCAAACATTATGAAGAGTAGATAGGGACTTTCCAGGCAAGGTGACAGACATCAGCAAAGCTCATGGGTAAATTCACAGGTAACCTTTCCTTAGCTGGTGCGAATTAAGCCCATTTAAAGAGACCTTGAGGAACTTAAATGTCAGAGATTCTTTCACATTAAGGTCCATAGGGGTGGCTTGCCATCTTTCTTCATCTGTACAATGGGAATAATAATAGTGTCTGCAAATGGGTTTTTGGGTGGAGGATTTTTTTTTTTTTTTTGAGGAAGATTAGCCCTGAGCTAACATCTGCCACCAATCCTCCTCTTTTTGCTGAGGAAAACTGGCCCTGAGCTAACATCTGTGCCCATCTTCCTCTACTTTATATTGGGATGCCTACCATAGCATGGCTTGACAAGCAGTACACAGGTCCACACCCGGGATCCGAACTGGTGAACCCCGGGCCGCTGAAGTGGGATGTGCAAACTTAACCACTGCACCACCAGGCAGGCCCCATGGAAGGAGGATTAAAAGAGAACTCATAAAGGGGACCAGCCCCGTGGCTGCCCTAGTGATTAACTTTGGCATGCTCTGCTTCAGCAGCCCAGGTTTACAGGTTCAGGTCCCGGGTGTGGACTATACCACTTGTCAGTCATGCTGTGGTGGTGACCCATGTACAAAATAGAGGAAGACTGGCAACAGATGTTAGCTCAGGGCCAATCTTCCTCAGCAAAGAAAGAAAAGAAAAAGAGAATGCATAGAAGACTTTGGCATGATGCCTAGTACATAGTAAAAGCCCAGTAAACATTAGTTATGATTGTTTTACTATTGTTGTTGTTGCTGCTAATATTAAGGTGGTAATAGTAGTTTTCCCAGAGCCTAGAGAAATACTTGCTTCATAGTAGGTGCTTAACAAGTAGTTGCAGGGATGAATGCAGTTGGAAATCCCCTGACTTGTACTCATTCATTCAACAAATATTCTTTGGGCACCTGTATGTGCCAGGCACAGTGCCAGGTCCTGAAAACAAAATAGTAAACAAGGCCACACGACATTACTGTAAAAGTGTTCACAGTCTAGAAGGGTAACAGGCAAGTGAATGGGCAGCAGAAATGCCTTTGAAGTACCAAGAAGGGCCCCAGATATATTCTAGGGGAGGGTCAAGGTGGAATGCCTGGAGACGGTAATGTCTAAGCTGAGTCCAGAGAGAGGAGCAGGGATTAGCCAGGTGAAGGTGGTTGGGGTGGGGAGGACAATCCCAGCTGAGATGTGTTTAGGGGCTCAAGGCAAGAAAGAACACATCTTGTTGTCACAGTTCTGGGCAGGTAATTTAGGTCAGGTAATTAAGCATCCAAAAGACGCTTAAAGATGACTGGAAACTAAAGTTAAGCTTTAAATTTTCTCATATACAACTACACAAAGATCATTCATATATTCTGACTGTGAAAGACAGAAATAGAAGAAGACATTGCCGCCAAGTCTGAAGAATGGGAGATGGAAGGAATTATCTTCTCTCTCTCTCTTGGTTTTCTGGTTTGTGTTAATGTGATTTATCTATATCCAGGAATGTAGGCTTTTATTCTTGGATTTCCAGTTTTTGTTTTTGTTTTTGTTTTTGAGGAAGATTACCCCTGAGCTAACTGCTGCCAATCTTCCTCTTTTTGCTCAGGAAGACTGGCCCTGAGCTAACATCCATGCCCACCTTCCTCTACTTTATACGTGGGATGCCTACCATGGCGTGGTGTGCCAAGCGGTGCCATGTCCACACCCGGGATCCAAACCGGCGAACCCCGGGCCACCAAAGTGGAACGTGCACACTTAACCACTGCACCACCGGGCCGGCCCCAGATTTCCAGTTCTTGCAACCGATCTTACTGAACCTGTGAAGCTTCAAGTAATGACTGCATGTTCTTTGTGCTTCCGCCATGTTTTTCAATCCCCAGTCTTGATGAGAGTTCATGATTGGGCTCCAGGTTATGTGTGGTTGTTTCAGGGGTGGGTGGTGGACGAGGGATGAGGGACTGAACAAATTCTTCAAAGTTCTTCTGACTCTTACTGTATCATTCTTTGGACTGGGCTTTAGATTCAGATGCAGGAGCATTTGCAGAGTACTAGCAAGTCATTTGGGAAACCACCAATGAGGAGTCGGCCTTTATCTAAGTTCTTCAGCTTTCCTAGGACCAACTTTGACATCACTTTCATTGGGCTCAGTTTCCCGGCGTTAGAGTGGGTTTATTTCAGAATTCCTTTCACCGGGCATGGGTACTTGAAGGTTCTAGTTCTAGGTTAATTAACTCCTGCCCAAACCCCTGCCACGACTAGACCATATTTTCAAGTCAAGTGTTTATTAGCAAAATATCTTAAGACTCACACATTCTGTTACTCCATTTATGCATAGGTTTACTCAACAAAGATTTACTGAATAGCTACTATAAGCACAGTGCTGTAAAAAATAAGGAAAGGGAAGAGAATGGGAACTTATATTTTTAATAAATTTCTCATAGCTTACAGTAGGGTTTCTTAACATCAGCACTATTGCTGTCAGCATTGTGGCCTGGATAATCCTTTGTTGTGGAGGCCTGTCCTGTGTTTTGTAGGATATTTAGCAGCATCACTGGCCTCTACCCACTAACTTTGGGGAGGCCATCCCTCCCCAAAGTTGTGACTATCAAAAATATTTCCGGAGGCTGGCCCGGTGGTGTAGTGGTTAAATTTGCACACTCCACTTCAGTGGCCCAGGGTTCGCAGGCGCTGATTCCAGGTTTGGAACTAGCACCACTCGTCAAGACACGCTGTGGTGGCTTCCCACATAAAATAGAGGAAGATTGGCACAGATGTCAGCTCAGCGACAATCTTCCTCAAGCAAAAAGAGGAAGATTGGCACAGATGTCAGCTCAGTGACAATCTTCCTCAAGCAAAAAGAGGAAGATTGGCAACAGATGTTAGCTCAGGGCCAATCTTCCTCACATACACACAAAATACATATATTTCCAGACATTGACAAATGTCCCTTAGAGGGCAAATTAGGCAGTGGTTGAGAATTACTGGCTTACAGTATCAGGCATCAGCCTAGATACTTCATACACATTTTCTCATTTGATCTCCCCTCCCCAGTAAGCCCTTAAGGAATATGGTTTGAATTTGAGGGTAGGAAATGTTAAGTGACTTACCCAGAGTCCCATGGGTAATAATTATGGGATTTGGACTTTAAATCTAGGGCTTTCTTATTCCACTACATCCCTAGACTGCCATACAACACATAATCCTAACTCCAAAGGAACTTATGATCTAGCTGGAGAGATGTGAAGTGTGTCAGGTAACTTACAGTTGTGTTCAGAGCATAACTGACATGAGCACTCAGAAGAGAGAGAAAACAGTGGGCCAGGGAGGTCAGGAAACACATCCTGCAGAGATTAGAATGTTCTTTGCATATTTGTGGGTAAACGCTCTGACTGGGGTAGTGAGTGGCAGGAGGGAAGATTTGAACAGGTAGCATTGGGTAGCAGTCAAGAGCAAGAGCTGGTTCCAGATGGAATCTGAGTTCCAGCTCCTCTGCTTATAGTTGTGTGACCATGCGCTGCTAATTAGGTAATCTTCTAGCACAGTTTCCTTGCCTGTAAAATGGGTTGATAATAATAGTACATATTAAGATTGTAATACAGATGCAATGAGGTAATACATAAAGGGCTTAGAAGAGGACCCTACGTCCAGTAAGTGCTCAAAGATGCTGGCTATTTAGTACTTGATTCTGTTGGACTTCAAATAGTTTAGAATCTATACTGTAAATAATGGGAGCTTTTGAATCAAGGTCTGCAAAGATGTTCCACGGGTACTGCAATTCCCCTCGCTGTGTTCATGACAAGATCACAGAGTGGTTGGAAACCAGCCCCTGGTTCCATGAACTGTTCCCTGGGTACCAGTGTCAAACGGCTTAACACCTCCGAGGGGGCTTTGGGTTTGAAGCATCAAAGACATCTTTCCAACAGAGCTTCAGAGGGGAAAGAGGCAGCCTGGGCATGTGTTTAGATATTCATTCACTCATCCATCCATTCAATCAACATTTACTGAATACCTTTTTTATTCTGGGCATCATGTTTCTGTTAACCACATCTGGAACGCCAATAAGTCATCACTCTGCCCATATGTCGCCTGAAAGTTTATTGGATAGAATTGTCATTGTTTAGTTTTAAGACAATTCAAAGTTATTTATGTGGCTTGTATTAAAATCCTGAGGTTTCTTCTCGTGCTTCACTCGATGCCACTGCTGGGCTTTGTATTTATGGAAATTTGATGGCCCTGGATGTGGTTGGGGATCTTCTCCTGGGAATTTCCTCTTTCTTCCTCTCTCCAGCTTTTTATAGCTACAGAAGGTTTAGATCTGTTAGCAAACACTTGGATAATTATGCCCCTCTCTGTTTATAGACTCAGGATAAATTGTCCTAATGGGAAAATATCTGTCCTTTGGAGTAATTTGGATCAAGGCTTTTCATTTTTTGTTGGTGTGGGGTTCTTTTGCCTTTCTAAAAGTCATTTTGATGTCTGCTTCACTTACGAATCATGTATTGTTGATATACAACAGCACTCAATAAACCCCATTAAAAATCTTTCCTTGATCTAAAAGTAGTTGACATTGGGAAAATATGTGACCCATCCATGTGCTTTCTCATGTATGCTGCATTAAAGGAAACAGTTGGATTTTAAGACTCTTGGGGGACATCTGATAAGAATCCCATAGAAATGACCCACCAGAGCCTTGACCACAACCTGCTGGAAAAACTCAGCTGAACACAACTTGTCTTAAAGCATCAGTCATAATGCATTTGTCTGTACTCATTCAACGATCCTGGAAGACCTACTCTCCACAAGGTTAGATTATAGATGAATAGCAAAGTGTTTCTAATTACTAAAATAGACATGAGCCTTGATTGGATTCTTCTGCTTTGTTGCTATCTTTGTGGGAGCTGGCAACACACACTTCTGATCAGAAGGCAAAGTCAGTCTTTCCTCTGCTTTGCTGGGAAAAAATGATTGCGTTCCCCAGGCTATATAAATCTGTGGAAGGCTTGGTTTTTAATCAGTTTGGGCCAACAGGCATAAATGCTTCTTTTTGCAAGGTTTCCTCCCTCCCAAGAGCCACAAATACTTAATGATGGGAGGCAGTGTGGTGTACTGGTTATGCACACCCTTTTGAGTCAGACTAAATGGGTTTGAACTGGGACTCCAACATTTACTAGCTATGTTACTTAACCTCCTTGTGACTCAGTTTCCTTGTGTTAGAATAAGGCTAATAATTATTCCCACTTCACAGGGCTACTGCAAAAAATAAATGAGACAGATGATCTACATAAAGTACTTAGCACATGCCCAACATAATTACAGTAAGAACTTAGTAATTCATAGCTATTATCATTGTCATCATCAACTAATATTTGTGTGCCTACTAAACAAAAAGCAGTGCTGTCTGTACCGAGAAAGAATATAGAGGAGTGAATCTATAAAATATACTTAGCATCTATTCAATGTCTGAAGTTAGAAATATTCTTAGAGATACCTATCTCACTAAACAAAGGTCCAATGAGATGTACGCATATGTTTGCGGGAAGCATTACATTCTTGTGGCAACTTCTTTGTGAATTAGGGAACATCGACACTCAGGATCTTTGTTCCCACATTCAGCGGCATGGTGAGGAACACTGTAGCCCTAGAAGGGAACGAATGAAAGGAGTTCTCTAGCCTGGCTTCTGCCTAAACGTGCAAGACTATCACTTAGGATGGAGTCTGATAAGTGAAGATCACACAGTCATGTCAATGTCAAGTCAGTTACCATTAGCATCAAGCAAGTCTTCTTTATGTCTGACCCAAATATTAACGTTGCCTTTGAGTCTCTTACCTCTTTTGTCTTCTGTAGAGATGAAGAACAGCTGGTCGGTATCCTCTTTATAATAACCCTTCAAATGGGAGAAGACTGTTAATTTTGCCTTTAGGCACTTTTTCACTGTAGACTAAACAACTCCAAATCCTTTAACCTTCCCTCATAGGTTCTATTTTCTGTCTCTTTAATCATTTTGGTTCTCCTTTGGAACTTTTCCAGTGTCTCCACATCTCCCTTAAAATAAGGGGCCTCAGACTGGACATCCCACCCTAATAAGAGTCTGTCTGCTGCCAAATTCTTTATTATGGGGGCGGGAGAAGTGGGGACAGGCACTTCCCTTTCATGTCAGACTCCCTCCAGTGTGCATTCACCCCAGTATTGTGTTGCCTATTTCTTATCAGGACATCACGCAGATTCGTATTAAATGCGTAGTCTCCTGTGATCCTCACATCTTTGTCAGTTTTTCCCAAATCTAGATTTGAAGCCCTATTAGTGCCTGTCATTTGGATCACCCCCCTTCAGGATACTACTTTTGTAATCAGCCGTCATGCTGAACTCTAAACTGTTTTTAATGAACCATTTCCTTCATGTGTTGAAGCCACTTTGGATTCTCTTAACGTATCAGCAGCTCCCACTCTACTATTATTTGTAGACTCTAGGCGTGCATCTAGCAATTTCAAATATTATTTAAACCAGATCCCATGTAAAACTGGAGGCCATGATTTAAGCCCCCCTTTGTTTACTGAGCCACTGATGTCTTTTCCAGTCAGCAGTGAAACCCAGTGAGGGAAAGACCAACCAGATCATATCTTTCTGGCCTGTTGATGAGAAAGTCATATGCCTTCAAAAGCTTTCCTGAAATTAAGATATTATACAGATGTGGTCACACTTTAATTCCCAGCACATATACACCCTAAACTGAGCTTAGGCAAAAAAGTTGGTGGAGGAAAGGGGAATATTTATTTGCATTATGCTTAAAATCGTGGATTTACTTTAAACAGCGTTGATTTGCACATCATAAATTATATACCACACTGAAGGAGTGGAGAAAGTTAGAAGTAAAGCGTTAAGAAACTGTCAGTGGAGAAAGCAATGAGAAGAAAGAAAAGGAGCGTTTCTGAAATTATTATTAGAAAATTATTCAATTTGAACCTAATTTCCATAAAACTTATCAGATACCGAGATGCCGCTTCAAAGTATGCTAACTCTACCACCCCAGGGCAGGAGAGAGGGAAGAAGGGAAGCGGGGAGGAACTAATATTCACTGAGAACCTTCTAATATCTGTAAGGCAGACGCTTGCTAATAGAGAGGTCCGATACACTGGCTCCTCCTAAAATCATCAGCCTAACTTGCTTTGACCTAGGAATTGCAGTCTTTGGAGGATGGGCTTACAAAGCTCATTCTCACTGGGCGCATGTGGTGTTCTCCTAAACTCTGCAATACCCACACCTCCTTGAGATACACTTCATCCTGGGGTTTCATTTCCTTCCAGGACTTTCAAAGGAGGAATTCCACCGCCTGACATTCCTGCCCGTCTCCAGGTTTGCTGTTGTGCCAACCTGAATGAAGCAACTGGGGGCAATTCCAGGACTGGTGATGATGATGATTATTTACCATGTGCTCTGTGGGCTGCCTCTGAGAGTGGGCAGATTGCCAGCCTGGCCTTGACACGGGTTGGCCCCTCCTAGGCTCTAATTACCCATTCCAGGGGCACTAATGGTACTGGCAGCTGAAGCCGTCTTTTGCCTCCTCCTTTATAATTAATTGCTTCGAATTCCACCAGAACTGACCATTGCAAAGCTAATTTACTTTAAGGGGCTGCTGGACGCCCAGGAAGAGAACTATAGCTTAGAGACATAGGGGTGGGGACTGGGACTGGGGCGAGATTCTGGAATGGGGTGAGTGTGTGTGCCTGTCTGCAAGTCCCAGGAAGCACAGGGCTTCAGTTTGTGGCATTCAACCACAGGAGGTCTCCATACCTCTAGCTCCCCCTGGGTGCTCCAACCTGGCCCTCTTTCCAAGCCAGGTGAAAATGTGTTTTGAGCCGAAGTTTCTTAATGGTTTGAGGTTTGGCACAGCAATGCTTTTACTTTACAACAAGTGTTAAAAGTGGAAAAAAATGGAATAAAACACAATTGAAGTTTTGAAAAACAACCTCTTCATGTAGTGAAATATGGGGTGACTCCCCCTCGCTGTGCCAGCGCCCCCCCCCCCTTTAAGAAAGCAAACACTCTTTTCCTGTCTTATTTGTATTCCCATTAATTTAAGACAGGAAGCCCTCAGTGGGTGTGATATAAACAATTCAGCCTCGTGGGTGGGGCTTCCTCATCAGGTTGCAGCTGGAGATGGCTGCCCAGCCCGAGCCCATTCATGCCTCTCCCGAGGATGACTTGTTGCCTGAACCCTGCAGAAGACCAGAGGGGCGCGGGAGCAGAAGGTATAAAGGAAATGCTTCAGTTGTGCCGTCACCGGCGATTGTAATTCAGCTGTGGTAAATTTGGTTACTCCAGCAGAAAGAATCTGATTGGAGATTTCTGGAAAGTTTCCCGACATCCTGCCCTGTGTGATGGTTGTGATTCTAGTTTGGGGCTCCCCCACCCCACCCTACCCCACCCCCAGCAAGAACCCATGCCGCTGCTGATTATGAAACGGATTGGTTATGAAATGAATTGATGCCGAGAGGTGGAGCTTCTTGCGGCGGCCCCAGGGAGAACTTTTGACCGGGCGAGGGTAGCTGGGTAGGGCGTTTTCTCCCTCAAACCTGCTCCCAGTTACCGCTGGAAGCTCCTGCGCGCTTGATGTAAACAAAGGTGTCTGCATCAGCAACCCCAAACTCCCTGAAACCCTTCCGGGGGCGGTTTCCTCTTCCCTGCGAGGGGAGTGACAGGGGAAGGGGGTCTGGAATGCTGTGGAGTTTTGACAAGTGAGCAGGGGAGTGACGAGCCGAGCTGGGATTCCATTACGGTCTTTTCATAACCTCCCCAACCGGGGCTGCAGGAGGGAGGAGGGGGTCCTCCCACAGACATGTAGCGGACGGAGAGGAACCATGTTCCAGAAGGACAGTCAAGAGGCGCGCAGGGGGGCGGCGTCCCAGGCGGGGAGCCCGCCCTGACCAGCCCCTCCCGCGGCCAGCAGGTGATTAGGCTCGCGCCCCGGGGCGTGCTGAGCCCAGCCGGGGAGGATTACCCGAAGCCAGCTGCTCCCGGCATCGGCGAGGGGATCCTCCGAAGGTGACTTCAAAACTGGAGGTAGGAATCTGCTTAACAAACAAAAACCTCAGGCTTCCCCATCCGATCCGGGGTGGGGTGCAGATTGAGGCTGAATCCATAAATGTGGCAATGTAGCCACAGCCTCACAGAAGCGCAGCAGCCAGCTAACGGCCCGCTGTACTCATCTCGCAGATCACTTGAGTGTCTTGTTTTTGACTTGGGGTGTCTTGTTTTTGATTTGCGTTGCTAGTGTGTTCCTTGGGAGGAGTAACCGACTTGGAACCGGTTTGTCAAACGAGACGGAAGGAGGCGCCCTGCGTGTGTGTGATGGGCCGGGAGAGGGGGCGCAAGAGATGAGTCGGGAGGGGCTCCAAAGCCACCATTCTTTCAGACACCTTGGAGGAGAGGTGCTGTTGAAGCACAAGAAGCGGGGCGGGGGTCGGTTTCCAGCAACCCGGGCGCCTGTTACACTGCCCTATCCCGGTGCGTCCCATTTGGCTAGCAGGGGTAGAGCAAAGCAGCGTCTTCTACCGGCAGGAACTGTTTGTGATCCCTCACGAGGTCATGGTCTCCTCTGGGGACAGATCTTTGCCCCAGACTACTAAACAGCCTGCTTGGCTAACTCTTCCACCACTGATTCACAAAGTGTTTTGATTCTAGTATCCACAAATCAAATATTTTAAAGTTGAAGGATGTTTGGAAAGAGAATGACATTTTCTATCATGTTGCTACTCTTTACTAGGCAGTTTATGAATACTGGGAGTGAAATTAAGTCAACTTTGTCTCATGAGATGAGGATAAAGAGGAGACAACTACATCTGTCGTCCTGGGAACCATTTCTGGGAGAAAAAGATTCTACGAATGTAAACAGTAAATGTTTTTCATAAAACTAGGTCGGGCTGAGTTTGCTATGTAAGGTGAATGGCAATAACCCTCTAAATAATATAGAGATATCTTTAAAGATTTTATTTTTTTCCTTTTTCTCCCCAAAGCCCCCCAGTACATAGTTGTATATTCTTCGTTGTGGGTGCTTCTAGTTGTGGCGTGTGGGACGCTGCCTAGCGTGGCCTGACGAGCAGTGCCATGTCCGCGCCCAGGACTCGAACAACGAAACACTGGGCCGCCTGCAGCGGAGCGTGTGAACTTAACCAGTCAGCCACGGGGCCAGCCCCTAGAAGCATCTTTAAATACACATAAAATGTGGTACTTTCTGACTCTGCACTACTATACTGTTTTGGAACTCTAAATTCACTTTGCAAATGAATTGAAAAGTTAAGTACAAGGACATTTTCCTTCCCCCAAATGTTAATTCTGGCTATGTACTCGCTAACCTGGAGATTCAGGGAGGCTTTACTTCCTTTGCTGAGATGTTAATGAAGTTAACAGGGCCCACCCACAGTTAATTGCCTTCAGGAGCTCTAGTCAAACCCATTGTCCCTAGGGTGCAGCCATGGGGACTCACAGGTAGGGTGGGCTTTGGGGAAGGAGGTCTCTGTCAGGTTCTAAGGGAAAGAAAAGAGTTCTCAAGAGTGGGCCACACACAGAAGAAACGGAAATAGGATGTGCCAGGGAAAGTGACTGGGGAAATGGATGTGGACTCGGGAGTTCAGGCTTGCTCATGCTCCGTCAGCCTTGAGCTCTGTGAGCCCTCGAGGCTGTGCGTAATTGTCTGGGGAGATATAGTCAACTTCTCCCTAATCTAGGGTGAAAGGAGGGTAGCGTCAAGAGCAGCAAAGTTTCCAGAAACTGCCTTTCTGCTTGCCTTCTCACTTCTGTAAGTTGCCCGACACCTCGCTTGGCATGTCCAGCTCCCTTTAATCCTCTGTTCATACTGATCTTTGTCACTCCAGACAGATCACACTTAGGAATTGTTTCCTTGAAGAGAAATAGTGACCCCATTCCGGGCCTGTTTCCTAGGACATTGAGTTCTCTTCTCATCCGCTCTGCCAGATGCTCAGCCCCGCTTTCATCAACCTTCTGTCTCCCGGAGGTTTCCCCACGTACCTTTGCTGCCTTCTAGAAGTGGGTTCTCCGGGATGGGAGCCTTTCCTGATCTTTGCTTGGGTTCTCATTCTGGAATCTGATTCATAGCCTGAGCTTCCCTTCCTTCCCTCCTTGTCAAAACTATACATATACGCAATTTTAAAAGTCAAATATCCGTACAAGGCTTATAACTAGAAACAGCGGTTGCTTGCTCCCCTCCTCACCAACTTCGACTCCTCTGCCCCAGAGACAACCGCTTTCAACCTTTGTATGTGTTTCTAAATAGCAGGTGCATGCTGCTCCACTTGGTTCATCCTCCCTACTGAGCCCTCTGGCCACCTTCTCCTCTCTGGACTTGCTGCTCTTGAGACCTGCTGCACAGCCGTCATCCTGGAATCTCCCTTTATCGTCATTCCAGGGACTCATTTTGCCTCTGTCTCAGGTGGCATCCCCTGTTTTCCAGATCCTCATCTTCCTCTTTCTTTGTTCCTGCTTTCTGGTAAAACACGTCTTCTAGAAGTTCCAGAGAGAGAGTATATGGGAGGTAAGTTTTTGAGATCTTCCAAGTTTTGTTGATGGCTCGATGGGGTATGAGCTCTAGGTTGGAAATCCTTTCCCCTCAGAATTTGGAAAGCACTGCTCTTCAGGGTTTAGTATTACTGTTGAGATGTCTGATGTCATTCTAATTCCTGATGCTTTGGATGCAATTATTTCCTCCCTCTGAAAGTTTTCTGGATTTTTCCCTTTGTCCTTTGTAATGTCCTTTCTCTCTGTAATGAAATTTCATTGTAATATACCTTGTTGTGAGTCTTTTGCATCCATTTTACTCGGCTTGCAGTGGACCTTTGCAATCTGGAAACCCTGTCCTTCAGTTTTGAACAGTTTTCTGGAATTTTCAAATAATTTCTGCCCTCTTCTGGAACACCTATTAAATTGGAAGGGGGCTCTCAGGAATTGACTGATTTTCTTGTTTTCTTATATGTCCTATCTCCTTTTAAAAAAATTCTACTTCCTGGGAAATTTCCTCATTTTATCTTCCAACCCATATATTGAATTTTTATGTCTGCCATCAAGTTTCTAATTTCCAAGAGCTCTTTAAAAGTCTCCGAAATTTTCTTTTTATAACCTCCTGTTCTCGTTTCACGGATGAAAAGCTTTCCAAGTGTCTGCAGATCTCAGCGACAGCTTCTTTGAAGCGTTCCTCTCCTCCCTGCACTGTTTCTTTTACTCTGATTTCCTCTTAGTTTTTTTGTTTTGTTTCTAAATCTCTTGCATGTTAAAGGCTTCCCTCAAATGTCCGATGATCCCTGACTGATCACTGAAAAGCTAACTGGAAGGTGCCTGGGTGGGCTTATACCCAGAAACAGTTCTTCCTTATCAAGGAGGACACATAGAACCATGTTTCAGAACCTAGAACAGTGCCTGGCACACAGTGAACTTTCCCTACATATTTGCTGAGTAACCAAATGACCTTGGATCTTGCTAGGGCCCAGGGAATGGTGAGTAGTCAAAGCTCCCCAGGTGATTCAAATTTGCAGTGGGCCCTGAGCACCTCTGCTGTAGGATTATCCTGAGCCATTTTCTTGGAGGACTGCCACCTGTTGGTGGAAGGTCTTGCCTCTCAGAGGACCCTGACCCAGTGAAGAGAAATCCCTGACACTGAGAATTAGTCTCCGTGGCCAGATCCCCCATTCCATGAGCTGGATGTAGGAAGGAGACCAGGAGTCTACGTTTGGTATGGAGACTTTCTCTTATCTCCCTATTTTTAACATGCCACCCCTTCACTCTGCTACACGTGGTGTCTCCAAGTCCAGAGTTACTGATTCAGCAGAGCAAACAGGTTGCAGAATATAGGCAGTCCCTTGGGAGCTAGGAGTAAGAGAGGTGATGCTGGGGTCTGACAGCTTCAGGCACAGACTCTCAGCCAGCCCTCCTGCTTTCAAGGCCCCCCGGCCCGCTCCGTCCCTGGTGCCCCCAATTCCAGAGGCTGTCTGGAGCTCTGTGGCATGAATCCAGCCTGCTTCCAGGCTTCCGGCACTGCCGTGCTAGGTTTCAGCTTTCTCTCATCTGCTAAGTCGGTTACCACTGGGTGGACCACTTTCTAGCATCCACGGTTTGTTGCAATAATTGTTTCTTCTGTTCTCTTTATCCTTGAGAGTTTAGGGAACCTCACCTCCTCCACACTTTAAAAAATTCCTTTACTCTCATTTCAGTCCAGGTTTAATCCAATTCAGGTTTACTGGCGAGTGAGTCTCCCTGCCTGATGCCCCCAACTTTGCCCTGGACACTCCTCTCAATTCTTCCTTCTGTATTTACACCCCTGCAAGTGCCCACTTGGGGCAGAAATTCAAATGGGCCCTGTTGGACTGTTATCTCAGCAGTGTTCATTAAAAATGTCTTAGGCCCTGAATAGAGCGGTTATTGGGTATTTATACTAGGTATGTTAGCATCTTCTCCATCAGGTCATTAATTATGCTTCTTTGTATGTGTGGAGTATCAGGCAGAACGCATTTCTGAATGTTTGATGCTCTTGCTTATCAGAATTCTTTCTATGAGAATAACCATACAGCACATTAACTTCTTTGAAATATATTCATGTTCATTTCCTTCTTTGGTCCTTACCAGAAGCCCATTAGGTGGTTCCTTGGTCATGTAGATCCAGAAACATCCATTCTCTGACATGAATAGCCCATTCTGGTCATGGTACCATTCCACCCCCCAGAGACAAGTGTAGAAAAGAGTGTGTGATCCAAGTCTGGGCAATGAGGTGAAGGAAAGTCTCTTGTGGAGCTGTCTAGGGAAGGTTTGCTCATTACTAAGAAAAAGACACAAAAAAATTAATGACCCTTTGCTGCTTTGGTGCGTTGCTGTCTAGAACCGCTGTAGGCATCTTGCCTCTTGCCTTAGGATCAAGGCAACATGAGGGGAGAGCAGATCCCAATGAGTCATTGAGATGCACAGCTCGAGCCTCCCCTTCCTAACATGTGAGATGATTAATTTCCTCCCTGTTCAAGCCATTTTGAATCGGGGTTTGGTATCATTTGCTGCCAATCTGATACAGGTGGATGTCTCTTTATGTGTCGGCTCATTTCCACATAGAGTTAAGGCAGACCGTGGGCTCTCTTTCTGAAGATCTGAGCTGCCTGATTCCTCACTTGGCTCCAAATAGGATTCTTCTCTACGCTGCCTATTTTCCAGGCAGATGAAAGTAATTTTATTCTCTCTTCCAACTTCAAAGGAAGGGATAACTATTGAGACATTTTGGGGGTGAGGGGAGAGGATTCCTAGCTTCGGAGATTGCTAGCTGATCCCAGTGAGAGAACATCCTGGGGCTGCCACAGAAATGAAGGCTGTTCTTAAAATGGCAAGGCTATGAAGAGACCCCATGCATCCCAGCCTGTGAAAAGCCAAGCATTAGTCTTCACTCCTTCCTCTGATTGGGGAGGCTGGCAAGTCTGCCTGCACACTTGGTATTGTTTCCTCTGTCTTCCATCCTTTGTCTCTTTGCCTCCCAGAATCTAGGAAGCTTTGGAGAAGAAATAAACTTCGGAAGTGCTCAGTGGTGTCAGGCAGACCAGAATGCAGGAGAAAGTAGATTCTCCATTCCTGTTTTTACCAGTCTGACTCAAGTAGCAGTGACACACTCTATGAATGGGAGGCCCTCCTGATCTCTTCCATTCCCAGTGAAATAGCCTGAAGGGAAGCCCTTAATTGCACTTAGCATTATACCATCATTCTCCTGTTTGTGTCCGTATCTCTTACTAAACCAAGACTGGAAGGACGGGCCGTTCATATTGTAACATAGCTGAGATTTATTGAGCTCTGACTACTTGCCTGGTGGTGTTATAATCTCTATACATGGGAGCTTCTCCCATCCTCACAATGATCCTATGAAGAAGGTGCCATCATTATCCCTGGTTTATGATGGAGATCACTTGAGGCACACAGTATTTAGGGAAATTCCTCAAGGTCGTCTGTCTTTTCAGTGGAGCAAAGATTCAAATGCCAGCAGTCTCATTCTCGAGCCCACTCTGTGCT